TTTTTTTCAAGCCATATGGCACCCTCGGTCGCGAAAAGGCGGACGGATGTGACACCGGCCCGAACAAGAGAAATATATGGCGGCTCCGAAGGCATGGTGAGACGGCAATATGATGAATGACAGGGTGATCACGCTGTGCTGACGTTCGGCTATACTTGACAGTCCGGCCCGAAGAAAGCCACAAATAAGTTCTGACATTCTGACTAGAACAACTGTGAAGCAACCAGAACATTACCATATTCCCGAAACGGTAATAGCAGGACCTAGTAGCATTGTCAAAGGCGTGACGCGTAATCAGTGAATTTGAATTAACAATCCTAGTACAGAGCTTCAGCAAATGGCATGAGTTAATTGAAACCATACTCGAAGACCATGACAAGGTATGAGATATCCATCAAAAACGGAATGTAATGTATGTAGCGGTCAGAGAGTTAGGGTATCCTGCCCGTCTCAGTGTAGGTATCTCAGACTGAGAGAGATTGCAGACTCGTGCTAGTTCAGATGGCTTTGAGCGACTAATTGCCATTCGAGGATTACAGATTTTGGGAACAACGATCTCGAATTACATGGCAATGCCTCTCCTCGCCTATATGAAATTGTATTGACACGAGAATGATTCATCTTAGTACGGCTCGGATTTTAGTTACGGGTGTACTAATCATGAGTTGAATGAAATCTGCAACAGTCATAGACATTATTTTGCTGTGTTTGTTAAGGTTCAGATGACGATTGTAGGTGGGGCAAACAATACCCGTAACAAAATTGGAAATATCGTCAATACACGGTCTATTACACGGACACGTTGGGGAGTTGTGATACTAATTATTGTGGCCGAAAAGACAACAGTTGTAAAGACTTACCGCATATTCTAATGTTTGCCATCGAGAAAGTTATGGCTCTGCATGCCTTGAATGACTATAATCTGTTACGAACTTATTATAAGTCTGAGTTGTGATCAGGAACATTTTTCGATTTCAAACCAAGGAGAGTGAATGCCTATCCTTGAGTGCTTCAAAAATCAACACTGCCATGACTTGTATTTCATGATAACCGACAGATTGCCAAGGATTCTTTTGAAACCAGAACAGTAGCCGGTGCAAGTCATATGCAAGTCAAATATCATGTGCAAGTCAAATATACTTAAGCAACCTCGGTACTTCCATTTGGACTTTGATGAGAGCAATAAAGTAACAGCTGTACTGCTAGACAGTTTCTTGTTGATCAGCCTACGAGCATCAGGCTGAGAGCCAATATGAATTATACTGTTGAGTTGTTTCAATCTCTGAGACAACTTAGATCAAGTATTCCATAATTGTACCTTATCTTGACAATGAGGCGAACAGCATAGGCTCTTATTGATTTGAATTCTCAAGTCAGTGATATCTGATTTCTTATCTTAGGGGTAGATGTCGTAGTTGACTATCGCCTCGATGCTTTGTCAGTTTGACTTCTCAATATGGTAGTCGGCCGCTCTTTTTCTTTCTCGCTCTCTTTCCTGCTGAGGTATGATGCCACATATGGTCTCAGCTCTGAATCTAGATACTGAATTAGACTCAGTATGTCCCATCTACCGACCGCCAATGATAGGTAATTTCAGGCATATAATCTGATCCAGGCAACTAATATTAGGCTATACAACTTGTTGAGGCAGCGGTTCGCTTTAGTTAAGGAACAAAAAGAAGGTGTTTATATCGCTCACGCAATGGGTGGTGGTTTGTATGCACCGTCACCTATATGCAGGCGACCTGTCGTAAAGTGACTGGTTTGATGGCTGGTTGCTTTCTATACTCATACCGAGTTTGCATGTAGGAGCGGGCCATGAAGTAGCGATATATTTCTATTCGAGAAGCCCTTGTACTGATACCTTTAGTCCTCGAGGAATCTAGCAAGTCAGACCGCTCACGCGTCCTGCAACTCGTTTGTTAATTATAGCAATCATTTGGATGGCATTTGCCAAGAAGTACAACTAGGTTGAGTCAAACAGTGCAGGGTATCTATGAAGTTGCTGAGAGTATTGGATAGTCTTCCAGCTGTTCAGCATTCTATACGACTTTCTGAAGATAGCATGTGCTCGGTGACAACTCTACAAGGCGTTCTCATCAATAATTAGCCGCAAAAATGAATCTATACAATCGTTTTACCCTATATCGCTGCCTGTCCCGACATGCAGATGCCTTTAACATATCGGACAATTACTTACGCGTTCGCCTTTCAAAAGCCACGAGCTTCTCATGCACCCAAGACGCAGAATCACACCGTGTCACCTGCATGGGAGGTCGACAAACGTCTTTAACTGGCGGCTTCTATTTCAAATCAGCCACACACATCTCGCTCCCAATTATTTTCACGCTGCAATGTAGAGCGCTTGTCGCTTACTGTGCGTCTATCACCATCCATCAGCAATTTCACTCTCCAATTGCAATGAAACCGAAGATAGCATATCTGCAACGGACACACTGTAAGCTTCAGGGAGCGCGACCTGTACCAGTCGTCACCGGGGGAAAAGGGGCCGTCACAAAGGCATTACTGCATACTACGACTGACCCGCAGGGACCTTTCCCATCATAGGCAGGTCGCCCCCAGTCGCGATGTGCCGGAGGATTTGCAAGACTGGCCTCTCGACCAGTCCCAGTGAGTTTTATCTCGGTGCCTACAGACTCCCCCACCCTGGAGCAGGGAGCGTCGTTTCGGCCTTGGGATGGTCTTCTCCCAAACCGCAGCCAATTTCGTCGGACATATGCCACGATGCTGGGTGTATGCAACGCAACTACTACTAGGTATGCATTACCTTGCTTCCAGGACCAAGAGGGAGGGACATATGTAAGCAGCATGGCGCGGAGATTGAAAGTCCCGAGACGCCAATCCATTTTATTGTCGCAACTTTCTATTAATTGATTGAACCGTTGGATTGGGGTCGGGCTGACGAGAACGTTACCACCGTCTCGACCCTTGCCAGGGTTGGCACTGGGACCACTCCTTCGTCGTGGACAACCGAGACAACTGTTGTAACTACGAACGCCACGGGAAGCAGTCAGAACTCAATTCTCCCCTCCACCAGCGGAAGCGGGCACGGTTGGCAAGCGCGCTTGTTAGTAGGGGAGGGAGGGCATACACAGGGGGCATCCTGTGGTATGCTCAAGTTAGTAAGGTGTACGAGCCAGCCCAACCCAGTGAGCACACACCCTGAACGTCCTATAACGACACCAAGGATGCTCATCCTCAGACCTCGCATACCGCCCAATTGACGCAGGCCAATGTCCCAACAGCTAAGCGATGCGACTTTGAATCCTTCGCATTGCTAACTTGTTAATGGCTTAGAGCCGCCCGTCCGCCTGGCAGGCCCTGTCCTGTCAGGGCTGGTGCGATGCCGTGTGTGAGAGATGGTCCTGGCTTTTTGGATCTAGGGAACGGCTCTCCGAAGGATCATGTGTGGGCATCTTAGTGAACGATGATGGAGCGCTATTCCCCACTGGCCTAGTTCACCCTACACTAGCGATGTCCACCTTCCACGGAGATGCCCAAACATACGGCATGCCAATCCTTGCTGAAGGAACGCATGCTGGACCCTTCGGTGATGAGTTGCTCGCCCGGAGCCGAAACACACCGTAGGATCATCCCAAGACATCAAGTTAAGAAGGCAGTGTTGCTGTCTTACTCTGTCATTTTCATCATGTTCTCAAAACTTATCATGCACGTTGCCAGACTGACTCGTCATCAGCTATTATTAGAGACTGTACAATTGATAGAAGAGATCCAATCGATACACTTGACCTCGAGTTGCGCCAAGTTGACGGCGTCGTCACTTACAAGATTGTGGTTGTGACTAGTTGATGGGATGGTCCTTGCAGAATCAAACTAGCTCCTTACTCCAAACACCTAATCGGTGGGGTCCGTACTTTTGTTATCGAGTTGTGGAGAGTCTTCAGGATAGTTATTCCCACCATGCCGGCCGACCGTTCATAATTACCATCCTAGGAACAAATGAATCGCCTTGCTGCGGTTGGGTGGTTTTGAGCCGAATCCTTGTTGCATCATGATGATAATGTCCACAGCCCTATGGCACTGCCAGAGGACTATGCCAAGTTCAGTGGCTGTTTACCGCCATGCAGGAGACCATCATGACTCGTGAATCCTATCGTCCTGCATAGCTAATCCTGCGGTGCGATTGTACTTTGGAGACTTCTGGGTACTTTGTCGTCTGTATCGTGAAGTACTCTGCAAAATCTTGGAAGCCTAGGCTAAGACGCCTTGCAGGGCAGGAGGATTGAGCCTTATGGACGATACCGTAGGTATTCGGTCCGGGGCATGGCTATACTCACCCCTTTTCCGACGAGCATAGACTACCACGATAGACACTATACGAGAGATCATATCATATCAGCTTTTACACATGATTTGAAATACAGCCCGGTTCCCAGTCAGCCGCTCTTGCCTAGGCAAATGGCCAAGGTTGACGCCATCATCATTCATGAGGATTCATCTATGGATCTAGAGTGATCCCTCGAGACGGAGAGGACATCCGTAGGACACGGACAAGGACCTTGGCAAAGAACCACCTGCCGTTCTTCGTAAGATGGGCAGCATCTAGCTAGTCTAATGTCAAAGCACCAAAAAATGCCGAATACGAGGCATGTTAATGATTGTATACTTTGTAGGAATGGAGCAGATAGATCATCTGGGACGGCACTTTCGCCGGCATAACATCCGATCGGCCTCGGAGGTGAACATCTTGGACTGCCGAAATATTTGACATTGAGAATAACCATCCAAACGAAAATCGTGATAGACAGTAGAGAATAAAGATATTTTGTCACCATGTGATTGACATGGCACCTGAAGCTATATCGATGAGTTCGCGTTTATGTCTGTATATGCCAAGTTACGAATGAGTGATGAACGACCCTCCGAGACACCATCCGAGACCTCCACTCCACTTCACAGTGTGGACATATGCTACAACATGTTGCATCAACTGCTCCCTCCTCCTGGCCTCCTCTCTCTCACTTCTTGATCTCGTCCTTCCAGCCACTACTCTCCCTCAACCACGCCTCAAAGTCTTGCAACGAGCTCTCCTCCCTCCGCAGCGCCTCAATATCCGCCCCATAACCCTCGCTCTCAAACCACGCAAACATCCTCCCGACCTCACCAACAGCCCACATCAATCCCCGGCCCAACACCCCCCACGTGCTCGGCAGCTCCTTGCCCACCACCCGCCGGAACGTCGCCTGCGCTTCAGCCAGCGTCATCTCGTCACCCGCGAGACTGACCGCCCGCCCGGCCCAACGTTCCGGCTGCGCCAGCGCCCGCGCCGCAAAAAGCCCGATGTCCCGCGTCCCGACGAACTGCAGCTTCCTGTCCGGCGCCAGCGCGGTGCTCCACATGGCCGTGAACAGCGCGCAGAACATGCCCGGGTTCATGTTGTCCAGGAACGCGGCCGGGCGCAAGACCGTCCACGTCGGCGTCCGGCCGTCCTCGCCCTCGCCCTCGCCCTCGGCCTCGGCAGCCGGCAGCCCGTCCCGCAGGTGCAGCTCGACGGCGTGCTTCTCGTAGAAGTGCTTGATGCCCGTCGGGTTCGCCCAGCTGGCGGGCTCGCCGCCGCGGTCGACGCTGCTGAACACGACGTGCCGCACGCCATGGCGCGCCGCGGCGTCGACGAACGGCACCGCCTGCTCGGTCTCGCTCTGCTTCCCCGGCGCGGTGTACAGGAAGACCGCGGCGATGGAGCCTCTAGGCCGGGAGGCGAAGAACGCGGCCGGGTCGAGCAGGTCGCCCTCCACGAGCGTCACAGAGTCCGGGTGCGCCTCGGCCAGGGCCTTGGCTTTGGCGGAGGCGGAGGCGATGCTGCGCGTCATCGCGAGGATGTGTACCGGCGCTGAGCCCGGCGGCGGCGGGCTGAGCAGGGCGGATATGACGGCCTGTCCCTGCTTGCCGGTTGCGCCGACGACGAGCACGTTGCGCTTGCTTGTGCTGCTCATGATGAGTGGGTGGGTGAGCGAGTATGCGATACAGGTACGACCCCGTGACGGAACGGAGCTGCTTGCTCGTGTCACCGTCTCACGGCTCACAACGGCCGGCTGGCTCGTCCGTGTAAGTCGGTCGCTTGATACGGGCGCCCTGTATTAGCGCCGGAGAGCTGTGAGATTAGGTGCTGACAGCCGATCTGATCTGTGCCAACACTAAGCGACTGACGCCACACACACTGGAGATGGATAGACTTACAGCAGCAGTAGATGACCCGAGTGCTTGGTGACTTTGAAATTCTCTGTAAACGAAGAGCTGGTGGTGAGTTTTTTTTTTTAAAGACATGTGGAATGTGAGCGGCTGTGATTCACTTATATCGCCTTGTCTCGAATAATATCCATGACGTGCGGCATACGCCTTGCTCTCCAACAAACGGCCGTCTTATTGCTTCTCCCCCACCAAATGTCCGGAGCTTCAGCGCTTAGATAATCGGCCAGTGCGCTCCGGAGCGCGAGGTGCGCCGAAGGCCGACCTGTTGTCATCTGTTCTGAAGGCAGCAGAGAGCTTTTCGTAGTCTTTTCCCTTTCAGTTTCGTTCGAACAATGTCCTTATGATCTGGTGAGATGAATACTAGTCAATTGGATTGTATTTGCCTCTTTCTCTCTCTTTCTGCTGTTGCGGGATCGCTTACAAGACGGTCTCCAACTCTGCTGCGCAAGTGAGATCTACGAAACCAAAACCAATTCAAACCCAAGAGTCCTCCTCCATCTAGAGCTAGTCCCCTCCTGTTATGCCCTCCCATAAGCCATACATCAAGTCCGTTACTCATTCAATCGTCATACAAAGTGGATAATAGATCTAGAGCCATTCTCCGTCTCCTGTGGCACATATCCCTCTGCCAACCTCCGTCCTCCCAATTACTACAATGATGGTCCGTCCCAGCACTCGCGTCTCAGTCGTCCAAACCACGCCTGCTTATGCGGAAATGCAATCTCTCTTTGCTTCGAGAAGCCCGCGAACTGAAGATGCTGAATAAATCTGCGCCATGTGTTAGCTAGCCATCAAGCTATCATCATATGCTTGGAGAAACACCCACCTTGCGTTATCGACCCGAGGCTCCATGCAGACTGTCATCGTCCGGTAGTCAGTCGTGAGAATCCAGTGCACTAGGCTGGTCAGCCAGCTCTGCACGCGCCCCCGCGCCCACTCCTCGCCGATGAAGACGTGCACGCCCCTGTCCCAGTCCGTCACCTCGGACCCGACATACGTGCCTAGGATATCCTCCTTGGCCCAATAGATCTCGAAATACCCAAACGGCACGCCGTCCCACATGCCAATGGCGGGGAAGCTATGTCTCGAGGACAGGGCTGAGGTCAGGAAGGTGGGCACGTAGGAGCCCCAGAACTTGGATACCCTGGGGTTTGACAGCCACATTTGTAGCAGGCCGGTATCGTTTAGGGTTGATAGGTGCATGTTTGTAGGCGGCTTTGGTCCTACGGGTCCGAGATAGGGAACGGGGTTGGGGCTTGCGCTGGCGACCCGGAAGGATAGATATTGACCCACACTGGGAACGAAGCGCGTGTAGAACACCTCTCCCATTCGAGGTGGTTTGGGCCGTACAGGATGCCGGATGCCATTTGTGATGGTGTACTGTAGCGGAGGGGGAGGATAGTATGTAGGCAAGTGTGATGTTGAAAAAAATGGACCAATTGGGAAACTTGGCACGGTGATGAGAGTCTGCGGTGGTGGTGCCCCGGGTAGGTCAGAACCGAGCTGGATCTGGCTGCTTTGAGGCGTAGAGCTGTGGTGAGAGTGCGCGTGCGGGCTCTCGTTGAGCATGGGGCTGCCGGGCCGTGAGGATGCCGGTGATCCAGGATAAGAACCAGTCTTAGGATTGGGCTGTAGTGTGAATAGGAACAGTCGCCCTGGGGTCTGCCAGAACATCTGCCTCGACACATACATCTGTGTCCAGCCGTCTTCCTTATCGCCCAGGCTCGTGCCCACCGCCGAGTCGAGTGTCGTGATAAGCCCCATGCGCTCCAACTTCGGTATCAGGTTCTTGCCGCGCAGCACGCCGTCCCTCTTGATGTTGATGCGCCACTCGCCCCGCGGCTTGCCATTCTGTGGTGTCAGGCTCGAGGACTCGGTCGGGGGCAGCATCGTGGACGGGGCAGGCTGGTGGAAGTACCAGTAGAGGGTGATCCACAGCATCATGGCGATCTGACGCGTGGGCGAGGTAGCGGGTTTGAACTCGTTGGACGACGGATTGGAGATCGAGGAGATGAAGAGGTTGTCGTTCTGGAGCGTCGGCTTGGAGAAGGAGTGGATGTGAGTCTTGCGGGTGGGCTTCAGCCCCGGACTGCTGGAGGGTGAGCCATCGCCATCGACAGCGACAGCGACCAGGTCGGGGGATTGAGGGTCCTCGCCTTCGTCTTCGGTGTGGAGGACGATGGTCCATCCAATGGGGAAGGCATTGGCGTGTGTGCTGAGCTCGTGGCTCTTGAAGAAGAGGCCGGCGAAGACGGGGGTGACGGTGAAGTTCTGCCCGTCGGGCAGGTGGATGATGGAAGGGCCCATTGAGGGGTGCTTCGTCATGGAGGCGGAGGCGGAGGCGAAGTAGGCGGAAGTGAAGAGGAGGAGCTGTGGTACCTGTCGAAGTCGAAGCTGGAGCTGAAGAAGCCGGACGATGAGCTATCGGAAGTGAAGAGTCGGCCGATCACAAACGTCATCTGAGACAGGAAGGTCGCGATGGTAAGAGAGCTAGAGCTTGGGATGGGAAGAAAGCTGAAGAGAGAATCAGGAAACGCGGGGTACAGCCAGCGAGCAAGCAAGAAGCAAGAATCAAGCAGCAAGCAGCCCAGCCCACAAGTCGCGTGTGCCCCTGGACCCAGAAAGTTCTTAAATAGGGTAGAGAGAAGATCGAGAGTCGCAGAGACCAGACCGGACTTAGTTCGAGGTGTAAAGGTGGCTGGATTGGATCATGCAAAAATGTCAGTCGCCCAACCCCAACCGTCCCTTTTAGTCTTTTAGTCTCTGAGTAGATACCGACGTCTCTACCCAGGTCAGGTAGCTAGTCCAGGCACTCCCGCCCGCGTCGCACGCCGAATTGCCGATCGACTGGGGAAGAAGGACTCCTTTCTGTCGATCGAGATGGATGGTCGGCCTTCTAGAAACGCTCTAGAATCTAGAACGTGCGCCTGACACACGCCTGACAGGACGGGGCAAGGCGAAGGGGGGAGAAGCCTTGCGTGCGCGTGCGCGTGTCTTTGCCGAAAAGTTGGGTGATTTCGGAGGTGGAGAGATTTGGCTGCTTGGTGACGGAGGTGAGTGAGGGGCACATCACATAGCAAAGCAAGCAAAAGCCGGAGATGGCCTGCAAATGTGGGGTGAATGCTACATGTACTGCATAGCACAGCACGGCGTTGGCCTGAGCTCAGCTTCCCGTCCCGAGATCAACTAACATTAACTGAGTGGGGTGAGGTGTCATCACCAGCTCTCAACTCTGAACACCCTTGAGCTCCAGCAGCAGGGTGCACACGGCAGTCCGAGCTGTTCCCTTCCTTGGGAGTAATGTTAGTGTTGAGCTCTCCGTGCTGCAGTGCAATGGTGGCACGACAGCTCAGCACTAACACTTTACTCTTACGATGAAAATATGCACACAATCTGCCAAAAAGTAACGCCACCCATTGCCAGCCCTCAAAAATGGGCTGACAGCTGACCTAATAAATTACTTCACATAGGATCCCTAGGTAGGTTAAGGGCAACTAGCTCCGGTTGTCGTCGGAGTCCCCGCAAACTCGCCTGTGTCTCTTGCCGCCCTGTTGTGTTGGTCCAATATGTGAATATCTGTCAGAGAGACCGGCTTCTCTTCTGCCTCGGTACCCCAGGCAGTTGAATCATCTCTGTTAAAGCCAGTGTTATGTTGAATTGTACAGACAATGATCAATAGTCCGGTATTCTTTGCAACCACTGGATGAATAGGAAACCTCGCTCGAGAGACGAGGGATTATCCTAGAGTAACGACCATCTCAATAGGTGCTTGTCGTAAGCACCAGGCTGAACCTCAAGTGAGCTATGTAGAGTGCTGCTGTTGCCCTTGTGGCATTGAGCTTATTCCTGTAAGGTAGTCCCGATATACAAACGATGAGATATGGATATTAGAAAGCCCATCTTACCTTCGTAGAGTTCAGCGGGGGGAACTGGAAGCGCGACTAAGGAGCGACGCGTTCTTGACTGCGGGATCGAGCTTCCCAAGCCCCCCTACAGTAGCTAAGTATGCCTGGAAAAGGAAGGCTGTGGTTTTCTCCAAGTCCACATCCACTTGTCGCTCTGTCGCTGTGGACCCATTCTTTATGTCTGCAAGTAAAGCCACAATTGAACCCTCAATGGCCTTCAGTGCAGCAGCAGTTTCTGTTTCTTTCAGTGGAATGGGAAAATATGGGAAGTCATGTTCTGCCTTGAAATGCACGTTGCTCCTCTTTTGCCGAATTTCTACAGGCAAAGAGTCGGTATCAATGAGAAACTGATCACAAATCTGACCCAGTATCTTCTGTGACTCTGCTATTGAGGAGTATGATGAATCCATGTTAATCGCTACTGTTATGCCGTCGAAAGACACATCACAGATATGTTGTTTTAAATTGGAAGCCGTTTGTCGTGGGGGAAGGATGTTCGCTTGGCATGTGTGGATACCCTCTTCCCATCTAGCCTTCAGTAGGGGCGGTCCGAGTCCTCATCCCCATCATCGGCTAACGCACTACTGGCCTTCCTCCAGCTTCATTAGTCGTGAGACTAGGAAGAGGATCCGTTCAGATGGAGAACGACTTACGAATCCAGAGCCTTCCAATGGCCACCCGACGAGCATGGGACCTCTTAGTTCGGGTTTCCCAAGCCCGTCTTGCCTTTGTCTTCCTTGAGATGTCAAATCCCTCGAAGACTACTTGAAAATTCGCTACAATGGCTGCTGAGACGTCGTCAAGCATGGCTATCAATGGTGCAATGAAACCCCATTATGATCCGAATTTCACAGACACAGTGATCAATGCTACTGGACCAAATGCAAGCCCACGCCTGCGCACAATCATGACAAGTTTGATACGTCACCTCCATGATTTCGCTCGTGAAACCGACCTCACCATGGATGAGTGGGCACAGGGTGTACAGATGATCAACCAGGCCGGTCAAATGAGCAACGACCGACGAAACGAAGGACAGCTGATGTGTGACGTGTTGGGTCTCGAGTCGTGAGTGACCACATCTGAACTGATTGTGTATCGACTTCTAACGCTCTGAAGACTTGTTGACGAGATTACCAACAAAATGCTTGTCGGGGCTGACTACGAGGCTACCAAGACCGCTATTCTGGGACCTTTCTTTCGACATGACACTCCTCCTACTCGAAACGACAGCACTATAATCAAGACCATGCCTTCAGATGGCGAGGTTGTTTTTATGCACGGCATTGTCCAAGACGCCGCCACAGGCGCTCCTATTCCCGGCATCATTGTCGACATCTGGCAATGTAGCACCAATGGTCTTTACGAACAGCAGGATCCAGACCAAGCCGAGTTCAACCTCCGCGGCAAGTTCACGACGGACGCAAATGGATACTATGGACTTTATTGCCTTCGCCCTGTTCCATATCCTGTGCCAGATGACGGTAAGAAGGACACCCTGGGTTGTGGAGAAGTCGACGAGGATCGTCACTAACAACTCACATCCGCGTAGGCCCAGCTGGCAAACTTCTGCAGCTCTTGGATCGTCATCCATGGCGCCCTGCGCACATTCATATCATAGTAAGAATCTTGTACACAGGTAGCAGAACAAGGTCGTCCTGACATGAATGCAGGCTGGAAATCCTAATTACACCCCACTCACTACGCAGATTTTCGACAAAAAGAGCAAGTATTTAGTCGACGACTCGGTTTTCGCGGTGAAGGACGACTTGGTAGTAGACTTCAAGCCCCTGAAGGACAATTCAAACGCCACCTTGGAGCTAGAGTATAACATATCTCTCGTGGCCAAGAAAGAAGAGTAAAACTAAGGACATGTTATTTATGGTGGCAAAGCACACTTTTTGGTTCAAATTCACAAAATATCAAATATTAACCGTCTATTTTTTGAGTCGCAGATAACATCGAATTTAATTTTCATTCTCGCCCTGCATAGAATGAAATCTTTGTATGTGAATAGAAGCATGCTTTAGGCATGAGGAGAATTAGGCCAGATCAATCACTGGACTGCATTCAAGCAAACTCGCCTTGCACGACATTTGATTGCATTGCTCAAATCCAGCCGCCATCAACCACAATGCTCTGGTTAGTAAACCCCCCACTATCGTCAGCAATGAGCCATAGGGCCGTTCTAGCGATATCATCAGGCTGGAGCAGTCGTTTGATAGCTTGGCGGCCAAGTACAAGAGCCTTATACTCTGGCGTGTGCACATCTCGCTTCTCCCTCTCTGTGGCGATAGATCCGGGCATTATACTGTTGACTCTGACTCCTTCAGGACCAAATTCATGCGCTAAGGTCCTCGTCAGCCCTACAACTGCAGCTTTACATGTGGTGTAAGCGAGTGCGCCTGTCGCTGGAATTGCCCACGAGATGCTGCCCATGTTGACCACCGACGCCGCTCCCGTGGCCAGAAGGCCAGGCATCAGCGCCTGCGTGAGGAAGAATTGATGGCGCAAATTCACGTTGAAACTCGCCTCCCAGTCCTCTGGAGTGATATCCATGGTTGGCTTTTTCTCTCCCTTAGCAGTTCCTGCGGCGTTGTTGATCAAACCATCGACCTTAGGGTGGTCAGCGAGGATCTTGGCAGCCACTGGTTTCAGAGCACCATCAATATCTGTGAGATCGCACTGATAAAACGCCGGCCGGTGAGGTGCTCCAAGACCGAGGACTCGCTGGATGAGGTCGGTCGCGGCTTGAGCTGCAATGTCAAGGAAAATGACTTGCGATCCTTGCATGGCAAAGTGCTCGACCATGGAAGCGCCAATGCCCATCGCACCACCCGAGATCACCACAACCCGGCCCTCTAGGCTGGGATAAGTTGCATATCTACCCCGAAATGACATCATTCAAGATGAGGCTCTCATGCTGATATTTTCTTAAGAACACGAGTAGGAGAACAAATCACTTAGCCCGGTGCGGGGATGGAAGCTTAAAAGCGGGCACGATAAAGATATCGCGATCTTAGTCAGCTAGACGGGGGCACAACGTTACACGAAATTACCATTGGCTGCAGCTACTGGGGTACTCAACATTGTGTGGATCGGGCATTATCAGCCTCTTGTAACTTGGTAGAAGAGTAGAGTGCTCTATAAACTCATTATATTTTCTAAATGACCTTAGCATTTGAGTCCTTGTACTCGCCCAACTTGAACAAAGCCTTGGCATTCTCTCGTCCAATCTTAGCACGATCCCTCGTGCTCATCTCGGCATTATCGAACCAATCACACGCGTCATTGAAATGCTCAAAGGGATAGTCGACGGAGAATAGGATGCGGTCCGAACCGACCTCGTTGACGCAGAAATTGAGCGTCGTAGAGGAGAAGTGGCCCGAGGTTGTGATCCAGATATTTTCGTTGAAGTACTCGCGGATCGTCTTCTTGCAGTCCAGTCCTAACAGCTTCTTACGATCTTCAAACCAGTGGTTGATGCGCCACATGTCAAATGGAATGTGCTCACCCAGGTGGCCGAGGATGATTTGTAGCTCGGGGTTGCGGTCAAATACCCCGTTGGTGACCATACCCAGAACGTGGAGACTGACGCCATGGGCAAAGGAGAGAGGCGGGCCAATTAGCCACTGGCGATCTTTCCACAGCTTCTCAAAGACGACGCCGGTCGGGTTGCGTGGGTGCAAATAGAAAGGTACTGAGAGCTCGACACATGTCTTCCAAAAGATATCCCACTCAGGGCTGTCGTAGAAGATAAGCGTCTCTCCATCAGAGCCCGCACGTTGTGTGTCGTTGACAAGGGCTCCCTTAAAGCCGTACTTGGTTACGCATCGACGTAGTTCTTCCGCTGCTTCGGTTGGGTCGTGCATTGAAAGCGTTCTATGATACTCAAGACACGTTAGATACTTTCAATATCATCCGACAACATGAACTACAAGATCTGATAACTTACGCGAATGCTCCCAGCCTATCCGGGAATGGCTTAATCTGTTCAGCAACATAGTCATTGATCTCAACGGCAAGTGCCTGAGCATCCTTTGCGTCGTAGATGTCTTGAACACCTGGTGCTGTGTATGATACGATTGTGTAGCCAACACCGTGCTTGTCAGCATGCTTGAGCCGTATGTCCGTCAGGTCTTGGATCTCCTGGACATGCTCCTCTGGATCGGTACTGAACATCCCTGCCCACCATCTTGTCTTCTCTTCCAGTCGAGGAAGGGCGAAGGCCTCTTCAAGAATGACTTTCCCGAGCATCGTGACTGGTACCAGTTCAACGGACTCTTTCGTTTCGAGTCTAGGTACACTAATCTCTTTTCAGGTAGTGTAACGGGGAATAAATCTAAAGTAATATTGAAAGAGGAGGCGTGCAAGAAGATTGCTCAACACCTCATGCGGCATGATATAGCCCAAGACGGTGCAATACCCGCACAACACCGAGTTTCGAAGCTCGTATCGGTCGAGAACGGATAACGGCTACTGGTATCTGCTTCTGGATTCTTGATGTCACGGATAGCCACCAGAGAGATCGGACCGTATACCGTAGCTGACCCGTATGGTAATCGCTAGACTAGGTTGGTTCTTCTACTTCATTAGCTTGCCGATTATCGCCTCAGGGGTTTTTGTTTGGTTCTTTGCACATTCCCTTGACGTCCAGATTTACCAACCGTGCATGCACTTACACCAAGTACACCAATGATGCTAGTTGCTAGTGTCCCCGCAAACTACCCCAGGTAGCGCTCCGGGGGAGGAGTTCTAGGAGGTAATCTACCCAATGGAGAGCTGTTGTAGAGCTGGAGTGCTAAGTGGTCCACTGTAAAACCCCCACAAAGCCTGCCATCAAGACGCTAGGGAAATGCACCCCAATCGGGGTCTACTCGGCTAACACACTTCACCCCGTGTCCGGCTGATGCACTGATCGGCTCAGTACTGTACGGAGGACAATGCGGAAGTAGGCCCCAGCTTGGAACAGATGTCCATGTTCTAGCCGACAAGCTTAGACTCAGGACACGATCTCCATATCATATGTGTACTGATACAAGCGGGGGCTTTGAAACAGGTCATCGGGTAAGAAGAAAGCAACACACTATTCAGAATAAACGCCAGACAAACCCTACGTAATATTAGTAATACGTCATTAGCCATGCCGTTGATCCAGGTCAACAATAAGGAGCTCTATTACACATGGTCCTCACCGAATAAGGCCCAGAGGCACCAGTCGGGGCTCACCTTGCTTTTCATCCACGGCCTAGGCTCGTCAAGCTCGTTTTACGCTACCGTTATTCCCACTCTGCTGAGCGCAGGATTTTCATGTCTTGCTCTTGACACAAACGGTATGTAGACTGATTTATCCTAGGTTGCACTTTTAGCTGAGCTAGATACGTGACTTAGGTAGCGGGCTATCGAGATTCACCAACGAACAACAGAGTACAGCTTCCATCGCACAAGATGTGAGCCAGGTTCTATCGAGCCTACACATTGAGGCAGACCGCACGATTGTGGTGGGTCACTCAATGGGATGCATCATCGCCAGCGAGCTAGCTTGCCTTCGCATGCTCGCAGGTGTTGTTCTCATCGGGGCCATCAACCCAACTCCGAAATATGGCGAAGTGTTTAGTAAAAGAATCCAGATTGTGCAGACCCGTAAGTCAGCTGAAACTTTAAGAGAGAGTGCCGGTTTAAGCAGGATTTGCTGACAGTCATTTCTTCAAGAGGGCATGGAAGCTATGGCGGATACAATTCCAATGGCGGCTACGGGATCCAAGTCAAACTCAGTTCATCACGCTTTCATCCGAGCTCTTTTATTATCGCAGAGCCCAGAAGGCTATGTCTCGCTTTGCCGAACTATCATCTCGGCGAAGACACCGTATTACTCCAAGATTAACTGCCCGGTGTTGTTCATAGCTGGAGCAGAAGACCAAACAGCCACTCTAAGTGACACAAGAGATATTATGGCCAGGTATGCCCATATTTCATTTAGGCCTTTGGATAGAGTCATTATTCATTTATTTACAATACTAATTTAAAACCTTTAGCCTCGGGACTGCTGCATCTTCTGTACGTCTTGAGATCCTTGAAGCAGTTGGCCATTGGCATTGCATCGAAGCAGCTGCTGAAGTCGGCAGACTCCTTGTACAGTTTGCACAAGGAGAGAGAGATGTTCGCTCGCCGGAATCTAGTAAATGGCACGTCAGTTACACTTGACGGCATGGAATTGATCGTCTGCTAGGAGCCCGACCGGCATTTGCTTGAGTGGTAACCCCACGGATGGGCTATTTCCGATCAAAGATTGGGGCTCCGGTCATATCAAATTATATAACATAACACCCAGCCAAGGTAATAGAACTAGAGACTAAAAGACGCACTTGTCAAGAATATCTTTCATTTTCTCGTGCCGAGCCAACTTCGCCTACATCGTCCAATTCAACTCACCCTCATCGTCATTGTTTAATAGCTTCGTCATTAACGCATATATCTGTATCATCTTCTAAATTTAACTTGTAGGGCTTGTTTGATACTATAGGGGACCTGGGAATTACGGCTCTCTAAAGTTGAGATGGTTGTTAGATGGTTGATTGAATTTGAATGCTACCTCACCTATAAAACTGCACGTTATCACTGGCACGTTCGCCACCATAATTCTCGTACAACTCGCGAACTAATTGCTTGTCGGTGGTTTGAAAGTGGTGTCAAACTAATGTCGTTGCTAGACGAACTGGTTTCGGGATATTGGTGAGCTTAGTCCCTACATATAAATTGTACGCTGTGTTATGTCGCTTATATACTTAAGGATCTCCGAGGATAAAGATGTTATAAGTGTCTTTAGTAATCATAATAAGTACTTTTGTGAAAGATATGGACTCCCATCATACGTTAAGGCAGATATCATGGCCAACAAGATCATCATTAGGGAAGGCGGGTTGAATTGGGGTGGTGTAAACCTTGGTGACAAGGCTGGTGTTCAGTTCTACCCCAAGCGTCGACTTAGTTGTTTTACCTACTCTTGATAGCGCAACTTAGGTGCTTCCATTCGACGCCTGATGTGATAACTGATGGGATCGAAGATGCAATTATTAAACTGTGCACTTGCTCTCTTCTTTTTTATGGTTCTTTTAAATAACATAGTTGCTGCTGCTTTCGATTTGTTGCCTTTACGTGGTGTCCGACTCTTTTTTTTTATTGCCATGACCTCTTTCTATCGGATGGAAGGTGTAACAATTGGCATCTGTCTATTGCATCAATGATACGCCTTCAGACTCACACCTGGTGCATGTGCACCCTCTCACGCCATTTCATAAGTCCCCCAATCACAGTCAAGACATCGGATGCAGCAATGCAATTCCGAAGGCTGTTGGTGGTGTGGTGGGGGTGTGGTTTGGCCTGAGAAAGAAAGGTCTGGTTCCAATTTAGGAAACTATTAAGTATCAAGCAGGGGTGTGCATTGGTTGGTTGATTTGATGCATCCAAGTCGGACCTGAGGAAGCCAACTCCGTTAACCGAGCCGCTATCTTCAGCCAACGACAGGTATCATGAATTCCATTTCACTCATCCAACCCCTTCTCCGCTTCTGACTGAGAACAAACTTTTCAGAGAATATGGCTGAAGAATCCGCTCAAGGACCCGCTCCGGAGCATCGTCAGGGAGAGGCTGTGGGTGAGGTTGGAGTTGAAGCTGCAGAATCGCCGAGATCAGCACCGCAAACACAGGGAACTACAATCCAGGGTCCTGTGCAGGTGGACGTGAGTCTGTCGTTCGCCCCTCGGATGATCTGTAATTTGTGGGGCCTGACTTGACGTTTCTCGTCTATAGGATGCTGTAGATGACGCCGACGATCCTGGCTATGCTGGCTCGTAAGTCATGTCCCTTGGTCTAGCCAGGCGGCATACTTTATGTAAAACTGCAAGGATCTGACCTTTTCCACAGCGAGGGATCTGCTAGCTATCTCACATCCTTGGGCTCAAGTGTTCTACACTACAAGTAGGTTATACACCAGTGCCGTTGGGAACGCAGCAGACGTTCTAACTGTCAACGTGTGATCTACGTGTAGATACGAGGTTCGCTGAGTACCGAGGCCGTTTGCGCAAGTGTGGATAATATCCGCTTCACTGCTGACGATGCCCCAGAACGGCCGCCGTTACCATGCATTTCGAGAAGGCGCATACCTCATGGTAGGTCGTGTCACAGTCACTTGAAGATGCGATGGGCAAAGTAGGATAGGCTATCTCTTGTACAAATGCTAATGTATGTTTTCATAGCCTAATGATGACGACGAACAGGACCGGATGGACTTGGGACATCACGTATATCGCCTGCTGCTCGGAGGAGAACTCTATCTTGCCCCAATCAAAGAAAGTCCTCACCGAGTTCTCGACTTGGGCACCGGCACCGGTATCTGGGCAATGGACTTTGCAGAGTTAGTCCCACTTCCTCCACCGCCGGCAAGACATGTCACTCAGTCAACCAACTTCCCTCTTGTTGAGACTGTTACTCACCATGCGGAATATCATTAGTGACCATCCGTCTGCGGAAGTCCTCGGGACTGACTTGAGTCCCATACAGCCCAAGTGGTATGTAGAAGAAGCCCATGCTAGGAGGTCTGGTTTCTCTCTTATCCTAGTCGCGCTCACCTAGACAGGACTCCACCCAATTGCATTTTTGAGGTCGATGACTTCGAATCAGAATGGACCCACCGTAAACCTTTCGACTACATCCACGCCCGGGAACTAGGAGGGTGCATATCCAACGACGAGAAGCTCTTCAGGCAAGCTTTCGAGCATCTAGCCCAAGGAGGATACTTCGAGCTTCAAGCTACCCGGCCAGGCCGTTTTCTCTCCGACGACGGCACGGCCGAGCTGGCCACCGATGCTCAGTTTTGGATGACCACCATCTGCGAGGGTGCGGGCCGATTCGGCAAGCCCCTGGACAACGCGCACGAGTGGGTAGAGAAGCTGAGGAGTGTGGGATTCGTGGATGTCCAGGAAGAAATTCGCAAGGTTCGTTCATCATGATTTTTCTCTTCCCACCAACTAGGCCCTCTATTCCTTTGCCTGATTCAGGACTGAGGCGCCTTACATGATGGCGGCGTCTCCTTAAACCTGCCTGCCTTCTGGGAGTTTCAATGCTCAAAGAATTCTGTCGAAACAGGTACCCATTGGCTCTTGGCCAAAAGACCCGACGCTTAAAGAGATTGGAAAAGTTCAAGCTTTCCAAGAGTCTCAACTAATTGAATCCTACACACCCGGTATCTTCTCCCGCGTGCTTGGTTGGGGAGAGACGGAAATACAGGTGCTCATCTCCAAGGTGAAGAGAGATCTGAAGAACCCTGCATTCCATCTCTATCTTCCAGTCTACTTTGTATGGGGCAGAAAACCCTGAGCCGAGCAATGCTCAGACAGAGATCCATACCTAGCATGCATGAATTATAAAGCATGACAGGGTCCACTGGGGTGCGATGGAGGAAGCGTGGCCAGTCATCTGGCAGCTATGCAGCGCCACTTGCCTCACTTCACTGTATTCACTTCACGAGTTCCCAATGACAGCCAATCGTATAGCATCCAAGACAAGTAAGAGCCAAATATCAAATATCAATCACCGAACGTCTCGTGCGTACGCGGCCGGCCGCCCGGTAGGTAGTTTGCCAGTGATCCCTTTTGGTTGTGATGTGGGGTAGCTCCTGGCAATCTAGTCTGCCGTCCAAACGTCATGCACACACGGAAGACCCTACAGTTTCTTCATCACGATTGTTCCTCGCTCGCTCTGTCTCCGTGTACCTCGTGCATTGATGAGAAAATTAGGTGCAGTTGCGAGGGGTGTCATGGGCTAGGCATCGCGTCGACGCCTAGCTTTCTGCCTTGATTCATTACAATTGATCCATTCACCAAGGGCATGAAAGCCTATCTAATCGACTACTCAAATACGAATTCCTGTCGTCGCCAATCCGATTAGTCGGGGCGGGATATATCAAGGCCTGGTCGAAATATGGCGCCGGCAGGGGTTGGCCGTTGACACAGTCGGCGATGTGGCGCGCGAGGTCGGAGTGGGCGAGGAGTTAGAGCATAAGCGGCGCGTAGTCGATCATCTTGCCGGCGAGACTTTGGGCTGTGAGGTTCTAGTCGGTGGGAAACGACAACGACTTCGCGACGACGGTGTTTGATGACATTCGCTACGTCGGCGGAAGCCGCTGCTGCTTTGAAGAGGCATCGATGCCGTCACGAGAATTTCGGCCATGACGCTCGAGGGCGGGTTTGCGAATCGATTGGTAGATGAAGTAACCAGACCGAGGCAGGGCCACCCTGAATGCGCGGGTATTGCCAACAACGCGCGTTGCAGCCGGTGAAGTCCATCGTAGTGCGAGAGTGCCCGATCACGCCGCGCTAACGATGCCTCTTGATGCAACTACCCGTCCTATAGTTCATTACCAGCTTCCTCGGGCGATGTTGTCGCGTTTTCGGCTTTCATTAGCGGCTGGCACTGTGGCAGAGTTGAGCATACTCTCGTCATTAGGAAGCTCAAGGTCCAATTCGCCGACTAAAGTTCCTTTGCGTTCTACTCAAGAGAGGCTGGTCCACGCTCTGCCTTGTTCCCGATGCCTACGAAATTCGCTGCAACATGGCGCTCTTGGTCCTACCGACCTATCGGAAGACGCCGTCATCGAGAACTTCCTAGACAACGAGTTGCTGTTGCTTGTACAGGTCATCGTTTCGCTTGATCGGGTTCAACGATCGGCTACGGACCGAGTGACATGTCGCTGCTTGTGAAACTGGTCACGAGCGTCTTGGAAGGGTTGTATGGAGAGGTGATGTCGCGCCTGATGTTGCCGTTCAAGTCGTGTCAGGCAACCTACAGAACAGGAAGCCAGCTCGAATGACCGGCGCCGATAGCCTCGGGAATGTAACGTTCGGCCCATGAGATGAGGAACGAATGGACCAGAGCGAGGGCAAGGGAGGGGTGCTGGTTGTTTAGCGCATTGTTGTTCGGCTATGTCTTCATCATCGACACTGTTATTCAAATCTGTTTGTGTGTTTATCGTACGAAATGACAGTGTTGTTTTGGGAACGCTAGAAATCGGAATGGGGCGGACCTGTGGATGGGGTAATCCGTTACCTAATTGCGGGAACTCCACACCTCACTCCTCAGGGCAAAACACAAATTGTCTTGATTTTGGAGCTTTCGCGAAGAGTTTCTCTCTCAACCCTTCCCCCGTCTCATTTGGAGTTCAACGTCGTCAAGCGATCAAAATATTGCAGTAATTGTTCAGGAAGTCTACTTTCAGGGGACTAGGTTACTCCAAGCGGGGAGTCAAATAGCTCATTGACCTCAAGGCGCGACTCTCGCCCCCACTATCATAACATCGTCCATCCTATTATCTGTATCTGCCCGAGAAGTTGCTGTAATATGATAAGACTTTCCGGTCCTCAGATAACACGCTTTAGGAACGCTTCGAGAATGGCATTCTACCGTGCTGAGATTCGCCACGGGGGGGCAGGATGCACTCTGCTGTCACCACACTCTAGCGTAACATGGACGGCGCGTGGGAACCTCGTTGAGTTAACGCCACGACTGACATTGGCGATGACTAGAAGCGCAGGTGGCGTGTAACTAGCCATCAAGGTCTGAACGTAAGCTCTTCAGTTGTGTTTACTGTTTTGAATGCCGCAATAGCGAGTTGTAAGTTTCAAATTTTGCTCTATTTAGCAAGCAGTCATTCAAATTCGACTTCTGTTTCTGTGCTTCATCTCCACAGCATAGAGGTCTCATTCACATTGTCTGTGGCGAGTACAATCAGATACCCCTTCCTGATCCGCCGTAGTTGCAACCATGGCGTGTTTCTTAGATTCCATGAGCTCAACCCAAGCTATGACAGAAATGGTGTCCAAAGCGACTGAATTCTAGGTTGCCTTGGCATGGATATTGATGTTGGCCTGGGCTTTTGGTACTGCCTGCTCCCCAACATCCACCATTGTGGTGCATCCAACCGATACTTGAGTTGCTTGGGATACTCCAGGCGTGACGTGCAGTCCGCCAAATAGCACATCTGCACATCCTTGAAAAGGATAACACGAATCTTCCGCCGAATATCGAGAGTATGGTGCAGAGTTGTGGGATAAGAGTCTATCACGAGATATTCATTCATGCCTTGTACCGTGACTGAAGCTAATGTCACCACCGCCATCCACTAATGTGGTCGACAGAGTGTGCTGGCGACTTTTTCGGCGGTCATGTCCTACGTCTTGCGAAGAATGATACCCTCGATGTGGTAAATGAGCCGACTGGGCTAGGCGACGGCAGTGGTAGGTTGTCGGAATATCATACGGTTGCTGCTGGCAGAGCTGTGAGCGCGAGGATTGCCTTTCCAAATTAGGAAATCTCAAGCAATGAATAGCTTCGATCAACTGTTACCCTTATTTTAGGTGCCGGTGTGCTTGGAGGGAGCGCGGTCAGGTCTGTGTGGGCGTGAGTATCTAGGTAGCCTTTGTTTGCATCGATCAAAAGGAGAAAGAGCGAGAAGAGCTACCCAAGCGTCTAATCGTTCCTTCCTCATTTCTCCATCTCTGTGGCCCATAAATCGAATGTCGTCTTAAGCAGCAAAGTATCTCATTTTGGATCGTCTTCGGATTTTCACAGGTCAACCATTCGAGCGCTACATGCTTCCTTCACGATTCCCCAACCTTAGACCTTGTCACATTTTGACGAATCTGCCGTCTGGCAAGCATTCCCGTCACTCGTACACCCAACCCCGACGATGGAATACGGCTCATGGTGGCTCCAGCAGCAGCTGCGCAACAAGGAGCCACCGACTTGGTGCCCAGAGTTTACTCCAGGTCAGAAGATCACGATGAGGGAGCTATCCAACGACGTACTCATGGAGATCCTCGATCACTGCGCCATCAATGACATGCGCCATATGTCTATGGTCAGCATGTTATTCCGCGCGCTCTGTATCCCGAAGCTGTTCCAAGCCGTGTCGATTGGGAACCGTGACACTCACCCCCACAAGGCCATCATGAGCTTGATGGTGTCCAAGGACCTCCTCCCGGCCATAAGGTGATTGCCTACTCCATTTTATCCGTCTCTTACACTTATCTCTAAACTCTCGCTTCAAGATCCGTATCCTTCGGCTCGATCTATCATCGACCCGAGAAAGATGCGCCTAGCGCCGAAGATGTCGCAGCCGCAATGTTCCAGCTCCTCGCCGCCGTGCCGAAGCTGATTGAGGTCAAGTGGAGCATTGTCCCAGACATCGATCGAGTCATTCCTGCTCTCGAGAAACTTGTCGCAAAAGATGCAACTTTCGTACAGCGAGTTCGCAGCCTTGGCATTCCTCCGCATGCACCAGTGTCTCACGTTCTTTCTGGCCACTTTCCCAACTTAGTAACTCTCGATATGCCAGTGGCTAAATCAGCCTTGCGAACACCGGGCTTGCAAGCCCTCAGATCCTTGAAGAGCTTAAGAGCACTTGCACTTGACCACGAATACTCGGAGGGCGGTTGGCGTCCGCGTGACATCCAGTCTCTGTTAGACCTGATACCTGATATTGAATGCCTGGTTCTCAGAGGGGAGTTAAAGAATACAAGGGTGTCTGTAGGTCTCACACTACGCCTTGTGAGTCCCCTGCGGCACTAAAGCTGAAGGCTAACTCGTGACGCCCAGGACCTCATTGACACATTCGCCGATTTCCCCAAGCTAAAGCGTCTAGCTCTTCCCTCCCACCAGGTCGTTCATCCTCATCCAAGATTTCAGGATGACCGGCTTCTTGACGAGATTGAGTTCCTCAAGGAGAATCATCCACTCAATGAAGACGAGAAACCAATGGCGAGCTCTTTTTAGCCTGTGTCCCGAGTTGGAGTGCATCATTTTCTACGTCAGCAGCATCACTCAGCAGATGTATGTTCCTGGTTTCGATGAAGACGAAGACATGATCATTGCTGTATCGGTGGAGGATTTGTACAGCAGTTTCGAGAATTTCAAAGCAAGTCCAGACTATTGGGATGGCGAACTCCCAGCAGTGTTCTGATACCGAGCATACGCGAGGCTGTTATACCACGATCACAAATCGACATTTGCTCATTGTCACGTCAAGAGGCCCCGTTATAACAATTGCAAGCTGCTTCGCTATGGAATATGAGGGACAGGCCATGTCTTCCCAGCTGTCTCCCCGGCATTTCCCAGAATTGCCACACACAGACAGGAGAGACCAGAATCCGACATGTGTATACAGAGGCGCAATTAGTAGTAATAATCAATGAACAAAGGACTATAAACAGTGCCAAACATGTGCTTTCCAGGATTCGTGATGACAAGTTGTCAATCTGGCAATCATCGGCCAAAACAGTCCATTGACAACGCACTATCAGTGAAGCTATTCTACATTGCCATCAAACGTGATGTGCATTTAAGTCGTTCTTATCCGTCTTTGAGTTTTTCGTGTCGTATGACGTACATTTCCTTGTCTCTAGGAGAAATATCAGCTTCTTTCTTTCCCAGCGCCGGCAACATCTCAACCACCCCTTCACATAGCGGACTTAATCCCGCGAGATCTTTCAAAACACGTTACAATCAGCTCATCTACGATTCACCTGGCAGGTTGCCCACAATCTAGTCACATATTGACCTTGTGACGCAGTGTCGATCGCTGTGGCGGTGATTCTGGCAAGGGGCCAATGACTCAAGTTGGTCAGTGGACCACACGTTAGGATGCGCCACAACTCATAGGATTTAGAACTCTCAGGTACGGTGTTCAATGCATTTACTCAGTGCAGCCCTGAATGGCAGTTGGGTACTCTGCCAGTTTCGCTGTGTGTAGATTACTTGTTGACTGAGATCCAGCGACTGCGCAATACATTGCGATAACAAACACAGGAAAGGTATCGGAGTACATACTGAGATATGCCTATCATAACTAAACTCGTTGATGCAATACCAAATAACATGCAGGGTCGAGTGCTGCCCAGGGTTACTATCATTGACTACTCTCCGTAGTTACCTCAATCCTGCATGGTCAACACACTGGAAGGGCCTTGCAGAGCTCACACAGCAATAACATAAAGCTCTGCTCAATTTCTAGAGCGACCGTTGGCCTAACACCTTCCTGCTTTCATTGCGCTTAACTTCCTCGGCTTTTTCCACCCTCTGATTTTCTGCTCTCTCGTTGACGGGCCGCTTGTATTGAGTTTACTGCCTTAAAGGTAACGATTGATCTTCTCGGCAAGTGTACCTCCTGGCGCAATCGAGAGCAGCACGTGAATTATCGATCCTTACCAACCATACTTTGGTGAGCAATCCTCAGACCAGTTCTCGATCATGCCATGGTCTTCGTCCACCTTTCCCCATGCGATCATATCCGTGCCATAACGTCTGGCTATATACCAAGAAGGCCAAGTGCCTCGAGCCATGACAACGTCCACTAACGGCATACGTTCCAGGAGTGTCTTGGAGAACTCATTGAAGACATGGTCCATTTCCACTTCATACTCCCAGTATTCGAAGGGTAGATAAGGAGGATCCAGCGTGACTTTGAGATGAGAAAGTTTCTCAAAGTTGTTGAGCGCGGCGATGATGTGGGCTATTCGACGATACTGGAGAGCATTACGGGCAGACAGTCAGCAAGTGCCCGAACAGAAGGGTTTCTTTCAAAAGCATTTTGCCAATAAGTGGATTGTACTCACCGCAACTGATTGCAAAAGATCGTCCCAAGGCAGTTCCGGATACCCTCCAAGGGACAACTTCTCGAGCTGAGGGAAAGACCTTTGAATGATTCCAATTGGCAGCGTTTCAATTGCAATTGTATGGCTGATGTGAAGATTGACGAGGAACTTGGCATGGATCGGCATGTGAACCAGACAGAAGGGAGACGGCACGTGCAGGCTTCTCATCAGGTCAAGGATGAATCGATCCTTCACGATTGGCCACGAACGATCACATATTGTCAATGATTCGATCCCAATGCGAGGATCGGGGCCGAGCGCGTTATGGAAGTCTTCAATCTGGCGATTGGAGAGACCAGAGAGGTCGAAGTGCAGGTGTTTGACCTTGCCAGCCGAATATATAGCTAACAATACGGCCACTAAGCGTCTCACAAAAGCTGGACAAGGAATCACATTTGACTTTCTGGGCAAGACGATGAATCGAGCTGATCTAGTGACAGTCAGTACCAGAGAGCTAATGCCCACAATGAAAAGGTTATCTAGATCGAACCGTATGTGAGTGAGGCTAGTCGGCAGCATATTTCCTGCATTGACAGATGACTCCAGAGGCGCCAACATCCAAGACATGACTGTTTGTGGCTCTCGGAAAATTATCGCCTTCCAGCGGGCTGAAATGCAGATCCTGTAGAGAACTCGGCAGCTCAGGCGAAGGGCAGGGAGAGAAGACTTGTTGACGAACGTGACGACGGTCACAAGTAGCTCGCGCGTCAAGTTGAGAAGGGGAAAGTGGCGGTCACTTGTACTCTGCTTGGGAGATTGAAGTGGTTGAGCGGTAGCATAACCGAGCAACCGGGCGATTTCCGTTTTGCGCGTCATGGGGGTGGGTTGGAGGAATCGTCGACGGTAATATCCAGATCGCGTAGTTCGAGTGACGATGCACCAAATGATGGGAATGGCGACGACGGCAACGGCAACGGCAAGGCTGTTGAGAGAGGATTGGCTTGACGGGTGGAGGTCGATTTTTAAATGGTGTTGGTAAAGTCGCGTAGAAATTTGTCCTAGCAACCGACTAAGAACAGCTGCTCCTTCCTTCAATGCACTTCTCAGCAACTTTCCATGACATGGTAGAGCAGCTAACCATGAAGTGAGCAATCACTCATGTCCTCTCTGGTTGATTCAAATGGCCATTTCATTATCTGACCCCATTCAGCATTATTCCTCGATCCACTCAACCTGCGTTTAATGGGCCCGCGAGCTTCCGAGTCTCTGCAAAGTCCTCTGAGACAGTGCTGAAAATGGTGCTATTTTGGTGTGGGTTAATGCTGCATAAGGTTGCTTGATGGGCCGTGATTTAACAGGGAGGAGACCAAGACCTAGCCCTGCTGGCCATAATGATGATGATGTCTTTTCTTGAAATGCTACTTAGCCTCATGTTTGCGTCCATAAATGGGTGGGAATAAATGGGCATTATGTGTGGGAAAGATGCATTTGTCAGTTCAATTTTCACGAGAAACCTACTTTCCTTTTCTATCGTCACCGAACATACGAACAAATATGGCATATGCCTCTTGACTTTGTGGTTATGTCCGTGAATCCTGTTTAAAAACGCAATTCATCTCAGCGCTAGTAGCCTACGAGGCTGATGGTACTCCCATATCTCGTCGGTGGTGGGAGGGAAAGACGTCAAGGAAAGCTATAGCATGGCACTAAGCCGCCAACTCAACTAACTGGAGTTTGCAGGTATACGTATAGAGAAATAGGTTATGATTACAAAACACATAGTGAATAGCGAGTGCGGATATTAGTTTTTATGGATTATAGCCACTACTTCGGGTTCACCGCCAACCGCGAGAGGAATCTTCAAGGATGTGATAGCATGTCAAGGTACTGCCTCCGAGTTCAAACCATTTACATCAAAAAGTACATATTTCTAGTGTCAATATGTCTGGGTCACTTTCCACTATGGAGATGCTGTGGATTGTAGAGTTATTAACCATTGCGCTATAGCTTTCTGATCCCTGTCTCTCGCCGCTACTCTCTTCTTGTTGAAGAGAATCGCAGCTTCACTATAATTCGAAGCCATTTGATCGTAACAATCATTGCATAATTTCATTTCCAGACTTGAAATAATAACTGTAATATGTAATATACAAGGAAAACAAAAACAGCTAACTATTAATCAATCTCTAAGGAATCAGTGACAAAAGATTTTAGGAACCCTCTAACATGAGTGAAAACGCACAGCATGAAATGTCCCCGAACAATTCATATGTCTACAGAACGGATCCTGTCACTGGTGATCTCGTTATATGAAGAAAGCAGCTTCACCATCTTGTAGAAATATTTCACAACATAGGCTAAATTTGCGTAAGGTTGGAGTCGGGCGTCATTTAATGTCTCATATATAGATCGCTGTTTGCGGATCCATTAATTAGCCACGGCGCATGATATCCGTGTTGCTTGCTCTTCACACTCCCTACGAGCTTGCGTCAATCTAACGAAGGCATCTTTGACTCAAACTAAGACGACGACAATAGTAATGGGCTGTCGAATCATTCATCTTGCACCCTCTCTTCAAAATAAGATATATGGTGTCCGAAGCAAGATTGCCTGCTCACAGAACATACCTGAGCTGTTGCACTATGTTTTGTCTTCAGTGTGTTTGATGGAGGTATCATGGATGCTCTTCGACTGTGATCAAACTTGATGTGAATCTCAACATGAGCTGCTGTGAGGTCAATTGAAAGTTCGAGCACAAAACTGCAGTACGGAAGTCCTCTTCCAACATACATCAAAAACTTCATAGTGAATTCGGCGCTTTCGACGGTTGTATTTTTTGCTCGCTGCGACGGATAAGCCAGGCTGTTGAGGTAGGATACAACCGCAAAGAACCGTCCCCGGCCTCTAAACTCCGCACTTGGCCACAGCAACCATGCATGCACCCCGCATTCCGGAGATTTACCAAAAGGCTTGACTTTTTGCTGCAAAGCACTTAAAACGGGATACCAAGTAACTGCCGCGAGCTAGACAAGACGATATTACATTCATATAGCCTCTTACACTAGATTGGACCACGAATGGCATACCCTACATTTAGCCGGACGCCTAGAAAGTACAAATAGTAGCGTGGCGTCGGTCGCCAAGAAGAGCATATCCTCGCAAAGGTTATTTCCTACCTCAAGT